ATCGGGTTGGTTGCGCATGTTCCGGATTTGGAGCCAGATGGTATTTTTATATTGTTTTTGTGACAGGGGTGGTTGGGGGGGCGTAAACATAGTGTCTGCATTGTTTCTGGTTGGCTGCTGGTAGTCTTGGGGAGGTGGTGTATATTCATATGGAACAGTGATAAGCCCCTCCACCGAGCAGGGGAAGGATGGGTTTTGGAAAAGAGAAGACACGATTTCGTTGAACCACCTACGACCAGAGGGCTGGTGGGGTTATCTCACACGCCTGGAGACCCTCAGGGGGTCGGCGGATTTTGGTTACTTCGGGCCATGTCGGTGGTCCTCTCGTGGCCCTTTCGGGCCCTCTTGGAGGCATCTTGGGCCGTCTTGGGCCCAGATCCAGCTGCCCGCGGCAAGTCCCGCCACCGTGCCAGCCCAGCATTATGGGTGGCTAGTGTTCCAGAGGACACGGGAGGCTGTCACGTGTGAAACCTCGTGTCCCCAGGCATTTGGGAGCCGTGAGGATTGGGATATTGTTGATGGCGACGGTGACAGTGATGATGGTGATGATGGTGATGATGATGATGATGATGATGATGATGACGCTGATGATGATGATGTTGATGATATTGATGATTAGTGTGGTGGTGTTGGTCATGGTCATGGTCATGGTGATGAGGATGATGATGTTGATGATGATGGTGATGACGACGATGATGATTATGATGGTGACGACGATGATGCTGGCGATGCTGACGACAACGATGAGGATTATAATGAGGATGCGCATGCGGATGCGGATCCGGATGAGGATGATGATGCTGCTGTTGATGATGATGATGAAGATGATGATGATGAGGACGATGAGGATGATGAGGATGATGATGATGATGTTGATTATGATGACGACGATGATGGTGATGACGATGATGATGATGATGATGATGATGATGATGATGATGATGATCCTGCTGTTGGTGATGATGATGAGGGTGATGGTGATGATGATGACGACGGTACCGATGAGGCTGATTATGATGATGATGCGGCTGATGCTGATGATGGTGATGATGATGATGCTGCGGCTGATTATGATGGTGGTGTTTGGGGTGGTGGCGATGATGATACTGCTGTTGCTGATGGTGATGATGATGATGTCGGCCATGATCCTGGTAACGACGTCGATGTGATGTCATGGTGATGTTGATTATGATGATGGTGATGCTGCTGTTGATGATGATGAGGGTAATGACGATGGTGGTTGTGGTGGTGGTCATGATGTTGATACAGATGATGATGATGATGCTGATGATGATGATGATGATGATGATGATGACGATGATGATGATGGTGGTGGTGGTGGTGGTGATGATGCTGATGACGATGATGAGCACAATGCGTGTGATCGTGGTCATGGACATGATGATGGTGATGCTGATGATGCTGATACTGATTAGCATGATGCTGACGATGATCATAGTGATGATGCTTGTGAGTTTGACTGTCATGATCTTGATGATGACGATACTCATGACCATGATCATGATCATGGTCGTGGTGGTGATGGTGGTGCTAATGGGTGGCTATGAGGATGAGAATGACGAGGATGACGTGAGGGAGGAGGAGGAGGTGGAGGATGATGCTGAGGAGGAGGAGGAGGAGGAGGAGGCGCAGGAGGAAGAGGAGGACGAGGCAAGCTATCACATGTGAACATACTTCGTCTTCATTTTTGAGGAGCTCTCATGGAACTTGTTTGGGTCGTCTTGTGGCTCTCTTTGCCTGCTGTGCGGCAGTCTTGGGCCCCCCCCTGGAGGCCTCTTGGGCAGTCTTGTGGTCTCGTACGCCGTCTTGGGGTTCTTCTGGGCCGTCTTGGGGACGTCATTGCCGTATGATGAGTGCCTGGGGGCCGTCATGAGGCCGTCTTGGCGCCATCTTGGGCAGTCGAAGGGTTTTGTAAGGCCGTCGTCTTCCTCCTCCTCCTCCTCCTCCTCCTCCTCCTCCTCCTCCTCCTCCTCCTCCTCCTTGGGTCCCACAAGGGGCTCTTCGGTCGCCTTGAAGCCAGAGCGGGCCGTCTTGGAGCCACCTTGAGTTGTATTGGAGAGACACCGTGGCCTCGGGAGCGCGCATCTGTTGCATCTTACGCAGGGCTGGACCTAAACGGTGTTCGTGTTGGTTTGCATTCAGGGCGAAGCGAAGGCAACACGAGGACAAACGAAAAACACAAACGAGCACGACCATCACCGTTTAGGGTCAGCCCTGTGGCTGTAGCATTTTACGGGCGTTGTGGCCTCGGGGGGTGGGTGCATGCAACGAAGTGCGACTAGTGTCAGCGGCGAGCGCCGAGGGGGCAGGTGAGAATGAGAAGGCCTCCTCAGAAGACGGCGGGGCTTCTCAGGCGCCCTCGCGCCTTTTGAGACGTTTCCTGTGTCTTCCGGGAAGGCTCCGAACACTCTCAGAAGGCAAGGTGACTTCCGAGCCTTCGAGAAGGCCCGCCCCCTCTCATTTCCCCCCTGGGCTCGCCGCCAATAGAGAAGGGGGGTCCCTTAGAAGATTGAAGAAACCCTGCAGACAGCACTTGGCATTCTAGCACGCCTCAACGTCCCAGGGGGCATGGTGGCGGATTGGGCCGCCGTGGGGCCATCTTGGGCCGTCTTCGAGACATCTTGGGCCATCTTGGTGTCTTTGGTTGCTTGCATGGGCCCTTTTGGAAGCTCGGAGCGTGGATCCATAGGTTTTTGTTACGAGGGATCGTGGCCTCGGGAGCGCGGACCCACTGTGTTTTACATGGGGTCGTAGCCTCGAGAGTGGGGGCGGTGCATGCAGTACGACGCGGGTAGGGAAGGGACCTTGCTAGAATGCAGAAGCCCTACCAGGCAGCTCTTCGCATCCTTCCACGCTTCAACGTTCACAAGGCTCGGTGGCAGATAGCAACAGGATCCAGGCCAGGACAGATGGTTCGGGAACAGGGAGGGGGAGAGAAAGAGAGAGAGAGAGAGGGAGAGAGAGAGAGAGACAGAGAGAGAACAAAAAAGGACAGAGAGAGAGGGAGAGATAACAATGCACACGTGTATCCCTTTGGTATGGCACCCCCGAGCAGTGGGGTTCTGCATGAGGACAACATGGCGCACGCCAAGAAGCTCCTGGAGCACCTGGTCAAGGCGGGCAAGAAGGGCGAGAAGCTCGAGAGGCACATAGAGAAGGAGCGCTGTCTGTCACTCTCGCCCGCCCTGTGGTCCTCACCGTCGTCCTCCTCGTCCTCAACTTTCCGGGAGCTCCCCATCCCATGCCTCTGCCTTCACTTGCCGACCCTCCTCTTCCTCCACCCCTCCTCCTCGATCCCCCTCCTCCTCCTCCTCCTCCTCGATCCTCCTCCTCCTTCTCCTCGATCCTCCTCCTCCTCCTCCTCCTCGACCCTCATCCCCTCCTCCTCGATCCTGCTCCTGCTGCTGCTGCTGCTGCTGCTCCCGCTTCTGCTGTTGCGCCTCGGCTGCCGCTCCTCGCTTCGTCTCTGGTGTCCTGCCAGTCGCAGTCTTGGCGTGCCTGTGGGCCTGCCACACCATGTTCAAAGAACCTTTTGTGGTCTCCACGACATGTTCTCAGAACATTCCTGGCTGGGACCGTCTTCTTTTATAACTCGTCGGGTTCATGTTCTGAGAACATTTTTTTTATGAAGATATTCTTTAGGTTCAAAGGACATGTCGTGGTAGGCCTACAGGAATGCCGGGACGGTCGGTCCCTGCTCAAGACATGTTCGCGTCGTGAACGGGACGTTTTCGGACATGTTCGGCCGAGCTGCGCCGACGCCGGGAGCCCTTGGCTCGGTCTGAAGTGGCTGAATCCCGCACGTGCTTGCGTCGTGAACGAAAACAGGGCGGGAGGTGTTTCGCCGTTTCTGGCCTGCAGGGGCTTTGGCTGGGCCCCTCCGGGACAGTCAACAAAAACAATGCGGGATAAAGAACCAGCCCTAAGGAAGAGGTCGGCACTCCCCTGGACCCCGCATTGAACAAATCAAGACGTTGCATGTCTGCAGAACCCCGTGTGCCTGGACGCGCACTGTCAAGTCCCCCTGGAGTATCGGGCGAAGCGAATCATGCACATATTCAGAGGAGCGCGAGTTGACAAAACGATGGTCGGTCTTCGGGGGGCCCCCTCGTCGCCACGCCTGAACGCATCTCCAGAAACTGGTGTGTTTGAGCCACGGGAGGGGTCGGTGGAATGATTTTTGGCCTGCCGTTGTCTCAACCCTACCTGCTTCGACATATTCACCGATCCTGACCAGCCCGTCCTGGGCTCAGGGTCGGTGCACATGTCTCCCTGCAGGAGGGCGTACCCACCGATCCTGGGCTCAGGATGGGCCCCTGATCAGGATCCACGTACGTACATAGCTCTCTCGTACGTGCGGCAGCTTCGCGTCGTGTCGACCGGCGGGGCCCGCGCCGCCAGCCTTCAACATGGAACGCCGCCGGCGACCCAGAACCGGTCGATGTTGAACGATCGGACGTTTCGGGAGCGGCAAATCGTTCTCCTCCTCCTCCTCCTCCTCCTCCTCCTCCTCCTCCTCCTCCTCTTCCTCCCCCTCCTCCCTCTCCTCCCAATTCTTCTCCTCCTCCCCCCCCTCTCCCCCCCCCTTCCTCCCCCCCTTCCGGTGAGGTTGAACGATCCCCGCGGCGTCATGAACCGGCGCCCGAGGTGGAAGCAGCACGAGCCTGCCGCACGCACGCGACGAGGCGCCCTCGAGCAGCAGGTTTGTGCGGCACGGTGTCGGTGCTCATCTCGCTTTCCGCATCCCACACGACGTGTCTTACAGTCGGGGCCCTGAAGAAGGAACCCTTTTCATTGGGGAGGGGCTGGGTGTTCCTTGAGTGTTTCACAGCTTGCCCAAGGTTTTCCTTCGGCTTTCGATCGGAAATGGAAGTTTAACTTATGGAAAAAAGGGGCCTCGTTCCTTATTTGGGGTTCCTTAGGTCAACGCCCTGACTGTACTGCGATGCGCTGGAGCAGTTTCGGCTCGAGGTGAGCAA